TGCAGACTTGAAAGGAGGCCCAATTTTATTTAAATTGAAATAGAGTCAAATACTTGTCAAAGCAGCTTCTAAATTTCCACAGTTAACATGGGTGCTGTGCCATTCCGCACACGCAATGCATGTTGTAATATTCCTTTTGGTAATATAAAGGGTATAAAGGCCATTTCAGTTGAACATGAGATTGCAGTGATTTAAGTCGGTGAGTAGGGTTAGTCATAAACAAAATAGAGATCAACGAAATGAGGCATAAACACAATATAAAGGGTATAAAGGCCATTTCAGTTGAACATGAGATTGCAGTGATTTAAGTCGGTGAGTAGGGTTAGTCATAAACAAAATAGAGATCAACGAAATGAGGCATAAACACAATCTTAGATTAGTGGTTAAAGGCCACAGATTCTATATGACTTACATTTCTATTCAATATATCATCATAGTCCAAAATTTTAAGCTAATAAAAAGATGGCCATTCGAAAGAAGATTGAGTTGAGATGAAAAAGAACCAAAATGTTATCTCCATTATACAAATATAAATATACTTATCGAGGGTGTGAGAGAATTAGGTCATAATCTTTCAGTTGGCATTTAATTTAACAATTGAATAAATAAAATTTTTATGGATATTGTTCTTATATACCATGTCATTCATGTACCTCAAGTGAAAGGATACATCTAAGGATAAGAAACATTAGATTTCTTAACTAGTTAATTTTGAGTATTATTTTCAACATATTCCAAAATCTAATTTGGAATTGTAATAAGAAGGAAGAGGGTTCTAAGATCAAACTTTCTCAGTCCAACTCTATATAATGGGGTGCTTAATTATAAAAGTGATGGAGACTTATCCTCACCTTTATAAAAAAGGGTATTAAATTCACAAGAAAATCTTCTTATAATATTATTATAGTTAGTTTTGAAACTTTTATTAAGATTAACAGCAACTAAAAATCTAACGAATGTCCTTTTATTCCAATCTCATGGCGGCACAACAAATTTAACAAATGGGATTAGAAAGTAACAAAAAGCTTATGTAATATAAGTTTTTGATGGTTGTCCAGTTTGAAGAGGCCATTACAGGGATAAGTTTCAACACGACTAATATTTATGTAAATAGAAACTGGGTTAGGAAGAGGCAGAGATTTAAGCACCTTCAATAATAATAGAGTATATAAAGATTTATATTGGAAAATATATAACATCATAAATATGTTTCTTAAATAAATATAATGGAATTTTCTCATTGATCTAAGGGTTGTGAAATGGGGAGTTATTCAACTTTATAAACCATTTTATAAATGCCTTTCTAGAAGAAAAAAAAAGTTGGGAGATATGAAAGCTAGAATCTGGGACTTTCCCCTCCACTATTTGTTCAATAAAGCATGAGCATATAGATAAATGTATGTAATCTTGGCCTTACAAGGCATGCTCTTGATATATAGAGAATAAATATCTAAATAACATTTGTTCTTAAGGGTGCTAATGATTTTTCAAGCGATACGATTCAATTTCTTAATAATTTTCCCATCATTTAAAAATCTAGAGCATGACCTTCGGGTGAAACATGGATCTAATCTAATAAGAAATAAGGCTCCAAATAAAGTATTTGGTAAGGTGAAGCTTTCTAACCACATAAATCATATTGGCTTCATTTTAGTTTTTTTAGCAAAGTATAATTCTTTAAATATTATCTTTCTAGTAGAGAATGACCCTATGGTAGCTAATAAAGAGTTGATTAGTTTTAAATATATGATATGACCTAAATAGTTATGATAAATTCTTATTAGATAAACAAATACCACACACTGAACTATTGTTCTCAGGATCATTGCGGTGACACAACCTATAGAGAAATGAATTAAGATAGAGAATATTATCCCTTTCAATCTTCCATATGTCAAAATGTTATCTATACAAAATAGGTATGTGATATAGGTGGAGTTGTTAATTTCTAAATAAAATAATAGAAGTCTCCAAAAGTATTTAGAAAGCATTCATAAAAAAATAAAAGATAAAGAGAGGTGAGCATTCCAGTCCAAGTTACTTTATTTAATCTAATTATCAAAAAAGTTGGTTCAAATTTCTTCGGAATCTCAAGAATATGTCTTGCATCATAAATTCAAACCACGACATGGCTTTCAATTGTTGCAGACGAAAGTTTTATGGTTGAAGTACCCTCAAATTTAATTCCAATGAATTAAATTGATTAGCATTAATAATATTTTTGAATTGAGTATTTCCAACAGGGAGGGAAAAACAATTTAAATAAAAAAGAAATAAAAATTAAAAGAAGGTAATGGATTAGATTTAATTTTAATTTGAAAAATTCGATAGTCCTAACTGTTAAAATTTGATTTAAATTAGAGTTTTGATAAAAAGAAAATAGAACAAGATTGAATAGAACTATTATAAACTTGATATATTTTGAGTTTTTTAAGAGAAAACAAATGACTGTTTACCAATATACAACTTATACAATGTATTATTACCTGTAAATGTATGTAAAATACATCCTACAAAGAAAATGAAATAAGGAAAAAAAAGTAAAACAATCCAAATCAAATAGAGTCCATCTGAACCGTGTTTTAGGTCCCAACTCTGAGCCGAAGGCCAAATCAATTCTTAATTAAGCATGAGTTTGGGTTTCGCTATCCTTATTTTTTTACTCGATTGAATTTAAAATAATTGATCTAGAATTGAATCAAATCAAATCAAGTCAGGCTCCAAGCTCTTGTTTCCTTACATTGGCATGGATAAATATGATCCAAACTAATAAATTAAGAAATTTATGGCAGAGAACCTTTCAATATTTGTAACTAGGACTGTAATCGAGCGAAGGCGAGTCTGTGTTTGGCACGGATTGAGCTTGGCTTGGTCATATCATAAGTTGTTCATATTCAGTTCGAGCTTGAGTCAAACTTCACATGTGTTCATATTTGACTGCATAAACTTTCTTAATGTTCATGCTTTCAAAAGAGTATATAAATTTTTATATAAAAATAAAAATTTGATGTGAACTTGTTTTTTCATATAAACTAGTAAAAAAGTTAAAACTTCAAATGAGTTCATTTTCTTATAAAATGTTATTAAAAAATGATTTTACAATTTTAGATTAAGAAATAATTGAATAAATTCCAAATTTGCATATGACTAATTCAAAACTATTGAATTAAATAATATATAAGTTATGAATAAATTTTGTTACAATAAAAAAAAAAACTTAAGTAAGTACTAACAAACTAGCTCATTAAAATTTAAAAAAAGATAAAATTGTATTAAACTTATATGCATTTTGATATTAAACTTTAATATGTTATTATTAAATTTATAAATAAATAAGCTATTTAAATATATTTTATTTGATTAATATATCATATAAGTATAAAGTATTTAACAAACTACTTGTTGAACAACGAACGAGCTTGTTTGCGAACCTCAATAAACAAGCAGGAGAATGCTTAAATTTGGTCCATTTAAGCTTCGAGATTTAAGAAAATGTAGGAACTTGTTTATTTTTTTATTTGAAGAAAAATGATCGAGTAGAAATCATGCCGAGTTTGAGTTATTCATCAAGTACATTGGTACATTTACGACCCTATTTGTAGCTATAGTTATCACAATATGGAGTGTATCCATTTTCTTCTTTATTTACTATTATGTATTAAAGGAGAATTACAGACAACACTTGAAATTTTATTATTTGCAAAACTAGACTTTGTAATTATCTGAACCATATGATTTTACACGTGCCAAAATCAATTCATTGGGAATTTGAGAATAAAAGGTTTGAATTTTATCGTGACATTTTATAGTTGAGTGAGAATTTGAAAATTTGATAAAAATAGAGCGTTACGTATATAATGAACCTAAATTTAAAACAACTTTATCTTTTCGATGTAAATCACAGAAAAATTATTTATACTCATTATTCATTTCCCGTAAATGCTCATGATCTTCGATTTTTTAAAATTAAAGTTTGATTTGACAAGAAACATTTACGCTATTAAATATTTGGGGAATTTATTTCTTGATCATCCGATTTCTATTTCCAATGAATATATGTTGGGTATATATATTTCTCCCGAGGGGCTGGATTTTCGCCAACGTGGAGATTTGTTAGGTATGACTCATATACCATAAATGGAACAGATGCTGGAGCGAAGCGGAGCCCATGAGCGGAGTAGAGCTGAAGAATCTGTCCAATCGGGGGAGTTTCATTATGTGGGTTGGGGGTGCAGGGGCAACAGCCTGCGGTATTGTACAGGGATAATTTAAGTAATTACATATTGTACTATAGGGTTATATATACGTCATGTTTGTAACCCTAGGGGCGTCTCTGAGTGTTTGGAGATTCTGAATCTTGTATTTTATACTATTTTCTGAATATTGAAAATAAAGTTGTCGCTCTGCTCCCGAGGATGTAGATATCTTGCTGAACCTCGTAAATCTCTGTGTGTTCTTCTGGAATTATGTCGATTCTTGTTTTTTTTCGCTCTAATTTCTCAAAAATATATAATCAAAATGATCTTAATAAGATGAATTTGATGATACTTAATAAAATCTTAGCAATTGCGTTTATACAGGTCTGATAAAAAATTTAGAAAATAATTAAAAATTTTATAAGATCAATCGATGGATCAAAAGGTTTGTAGTTGAACCAAACATTTCGATGATTGATCAATCACCCAATTTTGATAA